ACAGTTTCTAGAAGTTTCTGACTCAATATCTAATAATGAATAAAATCATCCCAGCCTTGGGCTTGTGGTCACAGTTTGGGCCTCTCCCTGTTAATGATACTAGTGCCTGGAGGAGTTACTGCAACAATACCCTCCCCATAGATTCAACCTTGTCCTCAAGGTTGTACAAAGACTTCAAATCATCCCAATTTCCCAAGATGTGTCGTCAGGGGACAGACCCAGCCACTGAACCAAACGCTAAGCGGGATGGCTTGTTATTAAGTCTTCAATTTTGAAGTCAAGGATAGCTAGTGGAGTGATGAGGGGGTGACTGTCAACGAAATAGGGGGGAAGGTGATCAACCTCCACCGGGGGAGGACCGACATGGGGTTTCAGACGAGAACAGTGGAAGACATCATGTATTTTGGCATATGAAGGCAGCTCTAATTTATAAGCTACTGGGCCAATACGCATCAAAACCTTGTATGGACCATAGTAGCGTTTGGCTAATTTATGGTACTTGAACCTGAGAGGGAAATCTGTTTGTGGGGTTGTAACTTGACAACACCCAAGAACCCACTTCATAAATCACGTCTCTCGGTGTTTATCTCGTACTCTTTCATGCGATTTTGTGCCTTGAGTAGTTTTGTTTGCAGCAGCTGAAGGATGGCCTCAGAGATGATAAGTTTCGTCTACGGCAAAGCAATTGATGATGACCCAACAATATAAGAAGGGCAAGGAGGGAGGAGGCTTCCCGTAAATAACTTGATATGGGGAAAGGCCGCCGGAACGGGAATGAACTGAGGGGTTATAATGGTACTCTGCCCAGGGTAAAATTTGTACCAAAGAGAAGGTTTGTGAAAAATGAAAGCCCTCAAATATTGCTCAATAGTTCGGTTCATCACCTCCGTTTGTCCATCGGTTTGCGGATGGTAGGAAGAACTCATCCGGAGTTTAGTGCCACTAAGCTTGAATAAATCAGTCCAAAATTTGCTAAGAAAGATGGGGTCCCGATCAGACACAATACTCTTTGGAATGCCATGAAGCTTGCAAACCATCGAAACAAATAAGTCGGCCACCTTATAAGCAGTGAAGTGGGTGGGTAACGCACCCAAGTGAACCCCTTTAGAAAAACGGTCTACAACCACCAGGATCACAGTGTATCCAAATGAAGGAGGGAGACAAGTAATGAAATCCATAGACACATCTTCCCACACATTAGATGGAACCGGAAGAGGAGTCAAAAGCCCTGCTGGTTTCATAGCTTGGTACTTTGTTTGTTGGCAAACCGTACACTGTGATACATAGTCACGAACATCCTTCTTCATTGAGTCCCAATAAAAATTAGCACTAAGACGTTGCAATGTCTTGTTGACACCCGCATGTCCCCCTGTATTGGTGTCATGAAACTCTCGGAGTATAGCTGCCTTATAACGAGAATTTGGAGGAAGCCAGATTCTTCCCTGATACAACAAAAATCCATCCACTTTCTTGTACTCGGTATGGGAAGAAGGGTTGGTGTCACATTTTTCCAACAGGGAAATGTAAGATGAATCACTCTGAAGCTCTTTCTTCAATTCGTCCAAGAAGACAAACTGCGGAACTGTTAATATTAAACAAGAGGCCGACGTGGGATATTGTGATCGAGACAAAGCATCAGCTACAATATTAGTGTTTCCCGGTTTGTATTGAATTTGGTAATCATATCCAAGCAACTTGGATAAATAATGTTGCTGATCAGGGGTTTGGATTACCTGTGACATTAATTCCTTCAAACTCTTTTGGTCTGTTTGGATTACAAAAAAATGGCCAAGGAGGTATTGTCGCCAACGCTTGACCGCACTGGTAATAGCATGAAGTTCCCTTAAATATGCAGATGCACGAGCCATTCGAGGACAAAATACCTTACTAAAATAAGCGATGGGGTGGCCTCTCTGTAAAAGGACTGCACCCATGGCCATGCCAGAAGCATCAGTTTGGACAAGAAATGGTTCAGAAAAATTCGGCAATATTAGAACTGGAGTTGCTGTCAATGCCTTCTTCAACGCATCAAATGAATCCTGTGCTGCTTGTGACCAATGAAAATTATCCTTCTTAAGCAACTCGGTAAGAGGATGAGCAATGGAAGCATAACCCTTCACGAATTTTCGATAAAATCCGGTTAGACCAAGAAATCCACGAAGACCTTTAACGGATGTCGGAACTGGCCAATCAATCACAGCTGAAATCTTTAAGGGATCAGGTGATACTTTGCCATCAGATACAATATGACCTAAATAAGCAATCTTAGGTCTTCCAAACTCGCACTTCTGAGGTTTCAAAAAAAACTTGTGCTCTGATAATATAGAGAAAACTTGTTGTAGATGGGCAACATGATCAGATAGAGAGGCACTATAAACCAATATATCGTCGAAAAAAACAATCACAAATCGCCGTAACCATGGGCGGAAAATGTCATTCATGGTGGACTGGAACGTGGAAGGAGCGTTACATAACCCGAAAGGCATTACACAATATTCGTAATGACCGTCATGAGTGCGAAAGGCGGTTTTGTGAGTGTCCTTGTGGTTTACACGGATTTGATGGAATCCGGAAGTCAGATCAAGCTTAGAAAAACACCGAGCATGACCCAATTCATCAAGAAGTTCATCCACCGTAGGCAGTGGGAAGCGATCCTTGACAGTAATGGCATTAAGGGCCCGGTAATCAACACACATACGCCAAGAGCCATCTTTCTTCTTCAGTAATAAGACCGGGGAAGAGAATGGACTAACACTTGGTTGTATCCACCCATTGGCTAGCAGCTTAGAGACTTGAGCTTCAATCTCAATTTTCTGGGATTGTGGGTAGCGGTATGGTCGAACATTGACCGGGGTAGAGTTTGGGAGTAATGGAATGAAGTGATCAGAAAACCTTTGAGGAGGGAGAGAAGAAGGTTCAGTAAAAAGGAAATGGTATTTGTGTAGGAGAAGTTGGAGTGGAACGTGTTCATGTGCGAGGGTAGGGAGGGGTAAGGATGTGTCAGGTTGTGGCGTGACGCTAAGAGAGAAGAATTGTGCTGTAGGGTCTGAATGAAGGACACGTTTTAGTTGGTGAAAAGAGATAGGTTCAGGAGGGGAAACAGTCTGGCCTTTCAACACAATAAGACCATTAGGATGGTTAAACTGCATAGTAAGGTTTTGGTAGTCCATGAGAATTGGACCCAGTTGTTTCAGCCATTGGGCCCCTAAAACAATATCAGACCCCGTCATTCCCAATATGTATAAGTCCACCTGAAAATTATGCCCTTGTATCATTAATTCCACCCTTGTACATACTTCAGTGCATGATAGAACTTCACCGCTTCCTACCATAACTTTCAAAACTGAAATTGGGCTACGAGATAGGCCCAAAAAATTAGCCACTGCTTCTTGGATGAAATTATGGGTACTGCCCCCATCAACCAAAACTGTTACCTGAAATTGGTCAATCTGACCTGAGACCCGCAGCGTTTCGGGAGCCCCAAAGCCCGACAAAGCATTCAAACTAAGTTGGGCCTGATTCGGATCATCAGTGATAATGGGTGAAATAGGATCTGGTGGGTTGGGTTCCAAAATTGGAGCATGCAAAGAAGATTCGCCTGAATCATCATCCTCTTCAGCAACCAACAGCATGTAACGTGCAGGACAACGATGATTGCGTGAGAATTTTTGGTCGCAATTGAAACACAAACCACGCTCTCGTCGATCAGCCATCTCTGCCTCGGTTAATTGCTTAAAGCGTGTGCGCGGAGGGGGAGCCGGTAAGAGAGGTGGCAACTGCTTCAGAGGAACTGAAGGTACCAGAGGAGTAGTGGGTGACCGGGTCAGCAACGGCATCGGTCCGGGACCACTACGCTGTCGAACAATACGAGTCAGATCCTGAAACTTTTCCTCATGAAGACGAGCTAACCCAGAGGCTTGAGAAAGCGTTTGAGGTTGCTGTGAAAGCACCTCACGGCGGATTTCCGGTTTTAACCCAGAAATAAAACAGCTCAAAAGAAATTGGGGTTGCAACCCAACAATCCGATTAGCAAGAGTCTCGAACTCACTCAGATAAGCAGCAACAGAGGAAGTTTGAGTTAACTTGAAAAGCTTACCTTGAGGATCATCGAAAGCGGTCGACGCAAAACGGGTCTCTAAAGCTTGCAGTAATTGTGGCCAGGAATGAATCTGTCCATTGCGGTACATCCACTGAAACCACGCAAGAGCAGGTCCGTCGAGGTAGAATGACGCGACATTGATCCGTTCTTCCTCAGGTGTGGAATGATAGTCAAAGAACTGAGAGATCTTGAAGATCCAACCATGGGGGTCAGAACCATCAAAACGGGGCACATCCAACTTGAGAAAATGCCGATGATTAACAGGTGAAGAAATTGGAAGAGGAGAAGGAGGTGGAGAAGGGGGATGGTTTTCCAGGGCGGAAAGACGGAGATTTAGGTCATCCATCTTGGAGATGACAAGAGACATGTTATGGAGCATCTCATCCATTTTTTCCGACTGGGTCTTGCGAACGGATTCCGCCATCGAAGAAAGCAACGAGAGCACCAAATGATGAGATATGGGAAGAGCTCTGTATTCGAGGACAGAGAGAACTCCTGAATAGAAAAGGGAAGGAGAAAAATACTTTTTTCATATCCTCAAAACAGAAATTACAATCGTATATAACCACCCTCCAACATTATTCCCGTAACAAACATGCACAACACAACAGTTTCTAGAAGTTTGCTGACTCAATATCTAATAATGAATAAAATCATCCCAGCCTTTGGGCTTGTGAGTCACACGTTTGGGCCTCTCCCTGTTAATGATACTAGTGCCTGGAGGAGTTACTGCAACAGTTTTTTTCACCTTAAAACTTGTAGTACTATGCCGTAGATTTTAAATTTGTTTGTTGATTCTTCTTTTAGGCATCAAGGCAAAGTGTCCTCTTTCAGATATCTGAAGCTGCTGCACAACTCACTGCGTACAGAGGGAGCTCTCAGAAGGCATTTGCTCTGATTATTGATGGAAAATCACTTGTTTATGCACTTGAAGACAATATAAAGAACATGTTTCTGGAGCTAGCGATGCATTGTGCATCTGTTATTTGTTGTCGCTCATCCCCAAAGCAGAAGGCACTGGTATTTTTCAATCTGTGCTTTGTTTATAATAAATATGCTAATCGTGATGGTAATTTTTGGTTAGCTAAGCTTTCAGAATTGATTGGTCTTGTTCCTCTCTTTAAGGTTACTAGATTGGTTAAATCTGGAACTGGGAAAACAACCTTAGCCATTGGGGATGGAGCTAACGATGTGGGAATGCTTCAAGAAGCAGATATAGGGGTTGGTATAAGTGGTGTTGAAGGAATGCAGGTAATGCCAAGCTTCACAAAATATTCTTTCGTTTTCTTTATTGATTTCTTCATGTGATTTTCTGAACAATACTTTTTGTTTAATTCCCCCAATTCCCCAGGCAGTTATGTCTAGTGATATTGCAATTGCACAATTCCGGTATTTGGAACGGTTACTCCTGGTTCACGGACATTGGTGTTACAGAAGGATCTCGTCTATGGTATTTACAATATTTGTATTTCAGCTTTTAATCCTAAACATGGTAGATAGAGGCTCTGACAGTCTGGTAACTTTTTCATCTGCAGATATGCTACTTTTTCTACAAGAATATCACATTTGGTTTCACTCTATTCTTGTATGAGGTGTATGCATCATTCTCTGGACAACCAGCTTACAATGACTGGTTTTTGTCTCTGTATAATGTCTTCTTTTCATCACTTCCTGTGGTTGCACTTGGGGTGTTTGACCAGGATGTATCCGCTCGGTACTGCCTGAAGGTCAGTTTGTTTTAGCCTATGATACCATCCTCTTTGCTAATGAGCGTGAAATGAAAATTCACTGTTGCTTTGTCATCAAATAGATTGCACATAGAACAGAAAAATAAAATAAGTAAATGAAAAATCTGCATAGTACTTATGATGCAATACCTACCTCAGAAATAGGATTGATTTTTGATTGATTTCGGTTCCTTTGCTTCTTCTCTGACGATGATATGTTGTTAATATGGCAGTTTCCTTTGTTATATCAAGAAGGAGTACAGAATGTTCTGTTCAGCTGGCGTAGAATACTCAGCTGGATGCTTAATGGATTTATCAGTGCCTTAATAATTTTCTTCTTCTGCACAAAAGCGATGGAGCTCCAGGCCTTCGATGCAGAAGGTAGAACTGCTGGAAAGGATATACTGGGAGTAACAATGTACACCTGTATAGTTTGGGTTGTAAACTTGCAAATGGCACTAGCGATAAGTTATTTCACCTTGATCCAACATTTTTTCATCTGGGGTTCCATTCTTTTCTGGTATATTTTTCTCATGGTATATGGAGCAATACCCCCACACTTTAGTAAAGATGCTTACAAAGTCTTCATTGAAGCTCTTGCTCCATCCCCTTCCTATTGGCTTGTGACATTCTTTGTGGTTATCTCAACCCTTATACCATACTTCTCTTACGCAGCAATTCAGATGCGGTTCTTTCCCATGTACCATGAACTAGTACAATGGATAAGGTATGAAGGGAAGATTAAGGATCCTGAGTTTTGTGATATGGTGCGGCAGAGATCATTGCGGCCAACAACAGTGGGTTCAACAGCACGTTTGGCTGCTAAGGCTCACAACGTTAGAGACAGAAATGTTAAACGGTAGATAAGATATTTTGACAAATTAACCATGAAAGCATTTAGTTAGTTTGTGTACAGCTTCCTACAAATATGTAGTTTTTTTTTTTGCCTGTGGTCATGGAATTGCTTGCTGGATCCTTTGAACCAGAGGAGTGTTGCTTACAAGTTAGATCCACTTCCACGGTGATTGCATGGTGCAAGGACCAGTATTTGTGACTGAGGCTGGAAAGAAAAATAAAATTGTATATCTGTTTCGGCCATTTTGCTGCTGCAAACAATTCATTTATCCACTTGTATCATAGTAGTTACTGTATAGAGACAGACCAATTCTTTGTAAGATTGGATTAGAGCTGCTTGCTGTTGTAGAAAACAAAGTTATCCTATTACTGAGAAGATTTTTTTGTGTGAAGCAATCTTGTAAATTTGTTTATTTTACTAATTCTTGTTCTAATTGAGAATCTATATCAGCTCCTTGTCAACTTAGTTGTACACTGATAGAAGTTACCAAGTTTACTCGATTGATCGAATTACCAACTAGAGAGTATGGATCCCCTGCAGAATAAATCAAAGAAAAAGATCAGCTTGAAAAACTGGGACAAAAGACACCAACAAAAAAAACAGGGGGCACTAATTCATTGACATAATCTCATCTTCTACGTTTTCTCATCACTCAATCACCAGATTCCTCGATGTAGCATTTCGAAAGTGCAAGAAAATTAGTGACAAATAAAAAGCAAAAATATTGCAGACTAATTTGTAATATTTTCTTATTAAAAAGCAACAAGAAGAATCTGCATTCACGTCCGGAGAAGTGTTTATATATATATATACACAGAAGTCAACACCCAAAGCGAACGTAGCCTAAAGAAGTTACAGAAAAAAAGAGAAGACGAAGCAAAAGAGGGAGGAGGTTCTAGGCGACATGGAGGCCGAGAAAATCGGCGGCAGATTTGGCCATGAGGGTGGCGAACTCGTTGAAGCTAATGACACCGTCGCCGTTGCTGTCGGCCTCGGCCATCATAGAGGTGAGCTCGTTGTAGGAGAGGGGATGGCCCATCTTGGCCATGGAGCCGGCGAGCTCCGACGCCGTGATGTAGCCGTTGCCGTCGCGGTCGAAGGAGCGGAAGACCTCGAGCAGCTGCTCCTGGTTGATGAGAACCTGCTCGTTGAGGTCGGGCATGATCGCGTGCAGGAGCTCGTCGAACTCGATGTATCCGTTGCCGTTTTCGTCCATGTTGGAGAGCAGCGCGTATATCTCATCGCCGGTGGGTTTGATTCCGAGGGACCGGAGGAGCGCCGCCAGCTCGAGGTGCGTGAGGCTGCCGTCGGAGTCCATGTCGAAGCGTTTGAATATGTCGCTGAGTTGTTTGATTTGGTCGCTTTCCTGAATTGACATCGTACGTGTACGTTGTTTTGTTTTGACGGTGAAAGATGATAACGATGATGTTTTGCTCTTGTTTCTTCAATTCTTCGGATGGAGAGAAGAAGAATGGTAGCTTCCGTCTTTCACAACGATGGATCACGTTTCGCATTTGGAACGGTTCAAAGGTAGATGGAAAGCGCGTGCGAAACGGTTGCAAAATAAATAACGGTGTGATGAGTGGATTTTTTTTGTCTGCAAATCCTTTGCAAATGGGAACAAATCGGTCCTATATTTAATGCATGTCTGGTTGGAATTGTTGTCTAGAAAGTAACTACATTTCTAAATTGTGAGAAGAGAAAAGTTGAGGTTTTGGATATATACGATAAGATCATAATGCAGTTAGATTTTTTCTTAACTTAAATTTAGGAAAACATTCGCTCTATTTATTACCACAAAAACTGGAACCCATTGAGAACACGAGTGAGACTATTGCCACTTGCCCACCATGTTTTGCTAGAATTTACATATAAAATATTATATATCTTATTATAAACTTTACCATGTGGAAATTTTCATGAAAAATTTAATAATATTATCATTATCACATTAATTGATTCCGTATAGAGAATAAAAAGTTGATTCAATTAGCATTGCGTAACGGATTATGTTTATGGTGACATGACAATGTTTACATTTAACAAAGGAAGCATTTTAACAAAATGTTATGCAAATTAATTAACCTAATCTATGCGTGGACATTAGTTTTAATCAATAAATCAACAACTTGATATCTTACAAGATTAGGATCATTGTGAATTTTTGTAGGAACAGCAAATCCGCATGGTTCTTCCCTACCCCAGAAGCTCCCGAATCCAAACTCTCCCTTTTGATATAACTCCTCCATCATCTTTTCAACTTCATCCATGCAACCACCACAACCGAAACCTTCACCATCTCTCACTGTCATCTCTCCTTGAATTCTAAAAGACTGTTCATGAATTCTCACAAGAACATCTTCATAACAAGCCGATTCTATCTTCATCTTATCATCGTTTCCCTTCCTTTGACGAAGCTTTTTCTTAGCATATTCCCTTGTTTTCCTGATGAGCTTCCAGGGAAGCTTCAGCATGAGAAAGACAAGAATTTGCAGCAGCAAGCACTGGCAGCAGCATGATATGACCACGCAATCAGCGGCAAGCATGTTCCATTCTTCCATGGCTGTGAAAGAGAAGGAGGAGGAGATCATAAAAACAAGGCATGCCTGTTTAAAGAAGAGGTTCCTTCTCCCCTATGCAGGTCTTGGTGAGGAGGAAGCAACACAATTTGATGAGGAAAAGCTAAGATATATTGGTGAATAGTGATGGATACTCATTCCTTCAAATTATTTGGTTGAAGCCTAAACGCAAACCATAGCTTCTGAATAAAGATTATATCATGTTGTGTGTGTAATTTATAAAATTTAAATAAATTCTAGTTTAACATTCACATCAACCTATGACGTGCCCAACAATGATTCAGTGCTTATGTTGTCAACATTTATTGCCAAGGTATTGACATGAGTTCACTTTCCATGGAACGTTGCTTTCTTTCTACTCTTCAATATGTTTTGAAAAAAATAAATTAACTTGTGAAAACTTTCTCCAAATTTTAAGTTTAACTTAACACTACAAATTAATTTTATCTTTGATATGTAAATTTTAGGAATGTCATATAATGTATAAATTGTACAATGGAAAGAAATTATTACGTAAAATTTTATTCAAAATAAAACTTCATATTTTAATCCTAAGGATGTAACTTCTTCACAATCTTTTTTACACATGAGTGGAAGCATATTTGCTCACAAATTACGTAAATGGATAAGTCAAAAAATAAAAAGTAAATTCGTTAACGACTTCATTATCGAAAAAGTGAAATCCTCAATAATCATGACGACTTCAGCGTTACTATTTTATATTTAACTCGTCATAATTTTTGATGACTTCATTTTTATTTTTCTGATTTGTCCATATGTAATTTGTAGACAAATATGTACATTCGTAAAAAAACATGATCATTATATTTTGGAAATGAGAAGAAAATCAACAATATTTCATAACGTTTTTAATTAAATAGTGCATAAGAGATGGTAAAATTTTCGAGGTTGGTAATTTCTTATACTTCTGATTCTCTGTGAGAAATTATGAGTGCAAAACCATTTTGGATTTGCATGAAGTTTAAGTGAAAATGAAATAAAATTTGTGACATCAATAACTATATCATTGTCCATGGATGAATAATTTGTGGTATTTGGCTTGATTAATCACAAAAGATTAAGCTTGCGTTTGTTTCCACATGCGTATGGTACATCTCGACGGAATAGTGAGTTTTGTTTGCGTTTATTTTGACGATTCTCAATTATTTGCAAATAAAGATTCAATAGAAAAGAATGAATGAATAAATTTAAGTAAATTTGAAAGTAAAGTTTATATTATTTTTTCAAAGGATTTGAAAATAAAAGTAAGTAGATTTGAATATAAACTTAATTTCGTGAAAGTTTGTAAATGATTTGACTTATATAATATATAAAAAAATTATAAATTTAAAAATAATATTACAAAATTATCCTTAATATTAAAAATAATATAAATTAGTTTAAATTATTTTTGAAGAAAGATGCTCATGAATAGTTTTAAAGAAAATATTAAGAATTGCAATGTTAATTCTGTTTCATTATCAATTAATTACAAATTACTATTGGTATACTTTTAATATAATTATTATAAAGTTAATAATTATCATAGATAATAAATTTACACCTAACAAGTATAGTAACCGTATTACAATGTACAGTGATAAAAAATAATACTAAGAATTGTAAATTAAGAATTAATAAAACAAAGTAGTTTAGTGATTTGAGAGAGTAGAATATAAAGTGAGAAAATAAAAAAATTAATTGATTCGGTGTGTGTCAGATATATATCCCGATTCTTTTCTCTTATTCATTCATTTGTTCATTCAATATTTATTTTTAGTGTTATTAAATTAGGGTACCTGATCTTATTAGACTTAGTTCACTATGAGTTAGTCATTTAGTGAATCAATTCAATCTGACTTATATAGTAAATTAAAAAGATTGAACCCAAAAGTTTGATCCACCACGAATTGATGGATTAAATGATTGACTTACTTACTCACTTAATTACAATATTTTTTTTCAATTCAAAAAATAATAATTTTTTTAATTCAAATCTAAATATCTTAAATTATATTTATGATCAATCAAATATAATATTTCATTCACATAAAAATATCACAAAAATTTTCTCAACAAATTTTTTAATGACTTTATAGGGATTCAAATTTGTTTCTGGATAAAAATTGAGTTACTAAGTATAAATTTGTGGATATTTCATGTAGCCTAATTATTCCATAAAAATATAATTTAACACTCTCCTTCGTTTCAATATTTTCTAAATGATTGATCCAACAAAAAACACTTATTAGAAATATTAGGTGGGTTGGTGAGCCAAGTTGGCTCACCATGAGTTCAACCTAGGTGAACCAGATTCTGAGTGAGCCGAGTTCAAAATTGGCCCTATCGAAATTTTAAATTTTATTTCAACCCAACTTGGCCCAAACCCATGGTGGGTTGGGTTGGCTATGGGTTCCAACCCGTTTTGACAACACTACACATTCCCATTTTCACTACCACAACCCAATGAGTTATTGCAATCCACATTAGCAACCACCCGTGGGAGTTCCACTACCGTAAGATTCCTCCTCCATCTTGATTCCTTCCTTATATTCATTCCCAATTTCTAATTCATATTCTCATTATGAAATCCTTGGAACCAATTCCCATCACCAAGAACAAATTCCAACGTACCAAAACTGATTCCTTAACATTCGAACCATTACCACCATGGACTTGCATAACTGTTCCCTCACGTGACCACCTTGTAGGAATTGGTCATTCAGGTAGGCATGGACCCTGCAAAATTAGTTCCACACTCATCACAGAGTAATCCTGTCTCTCTGAAAGTAAAAATGAAAGCTCAAACCATGAAAACAACACTAGCAGAAAATTGAAAGACCATGAGATATTAAACTAGGGACAATGTTGTAAAAACACAATTGACACCCCGAAATCAACTCCTCTTAAGCAAAATGGCCTCAAAGCCAATCCCTTAAGTCGACGCTCTCATTCATGCTAAAATCCTTGGATAAGAACACAACGTTCACTCGCATATCCATCATTCTTAATCCCTTCCAATAGTAAATCGTTGAAAGCGAACACAACCTAAAGGAGAAAGGATTTTTTTACGTGAATGGGAAAAATGTATTCCCATATTACATAGTGGACAAAAGTTTAAAAAATTATGTAAATAGACAAGTCATGCAACCCTCACACGACTTCAAACAAAGAAGTCGTGTTGGGGATGCACAACTTCTAGTCTAACGATTAGTAAAAGGTATAATCAATTACATATTGCTATAATCGATTACATATTGCTATAATCGTTTGGAGGGTGCACGATTTCAATGTGTAATTGATTAATTTTTATTGTAATCGATTATGCGAGACTGTAATTCGTATTACAGGCCATTGTAATCAATTACAATAATGATGTAATCAATTATCAGAAGGATTTTGATGTAGAAGACTTTATATTTAGTTTTTGATATTGTGACTTGTGGTTTATATTCTACTACAATAGAAGGTATCTAAGTGTATCGATAAGTTTTAAATACATAGATAACAAAATAATACCAATTTCGTGGTCAAAATCATTGATGAAAATAAAAGGTATATATAAATGTAAAGGTAATTTATTAATTGATAAAAGCCAATACAAAAAGTTAATCATAAAATAAAGATATAATACTCTAAAATTTAAGAGGTAATTCATATCTTCCTCAAGCATCAATGTTATCAAAATTATCTACTCACTCTCTTCAATCAATCTCCACGATTTAAAGAATGATTTTGTATAAAACTTTCAATTATATTACAATATAAATATAATTATTTTCTTTCATTTTTATTTTTGTGTTTTCTAATTATTGTTGGACAAAATAAAATAAAATCCAGAAGATTGAGAATGAAAGTAAACATGAGAGAGAGAAAAAAAGATGTATGTACTATTTTCTGAATAATTAATATTTGCTAAACTCATAGATAATAGATTTAATTTGAGAGTGGAAAAGGTAGAAATGTTAAGGAGTGTGAGATTTGTTGTTTGAGCTTGCATATTAATTTCTCAATTTCATAGATATCTTTTATTTTAATCTAGGGTTTATTTTAGAAATGGTATACAACGAAAAGAATGAAGCATCGAGAAGAAGCTACGGAGAGGAGCTCAACCATGGAGGAATGAAGGAAGCTACGACAACCGGGTAAGAAGAAGAAATCAGAAACCCTTTTTACTGTACTGTGTATTGATTATGGACATGTTTTTAGAATAGCGACTAAATATGAGACTTTTGACTTAGTTTTTTTTTTTAATTTTTATTTCTAGTATTAGAAAATAAAAATACAAAAAGCCAAAGACAAAAACGTAGTATTTAAACAATTTTTGTGTGATATATTTTACTTTAGCAAAATGAAAGATAAAGTAATTTTAAAAATAATATTTTTAGAAAAGTTTGACGGAGTGTTGACGATGAATTTAGACAGGTGCACGTGTAAAAAATAAATTACATGTTAAATCATGTATCAAGGATGATTTAAGTAGGACACAATAAGCAATCATGCACAGGTTAATCACTGTACTTTCAATAGAATTTAAAACGTAGGCCCACCCCAACTTTCATGCTATACGCTCATGTTCGCTTGAGGGTATAATAGAGAGAAATTACGACGACTGATATGCGAATAAATTTGTGTTCGCTTGAGGAGATATGTAGTACTGATTTGCAAGACAGCGGACAGAAGTAATCTTCGCTGAAGTGAAGAGATTTACAGTGATTTCAACGTAAATAACATGTTTGTCCTCGTTTATTTGTGAAATACCATGGCTGCATATGAAAGAAACCCACCAAAACAAACTGTATTCGGTTATCCAGTACTAGTATTCGGTTTTGCTTCAACAAGAAATATCGAAGGTTGGTGTATTCGGTTCCAAAAATTCGACTTCAGGTTGGATCACTGGTGTATTCAATTCTAGTCATAGTTATTCAATTCTTAACTTGTGCATTTTGCAAGAGAAGTGGTGCATTCACTTGGCTGAATACTCTCTCCGTCGCACGCCNAAATTACGTAAATGGATAAGTCAAAAAATAAAAAGTAAATTCGT